CATCAATATATCCATCTAGCAACCAATCGATCAGTCAATCAAATCAAATCTATCCATTCATCCATCCATCCATCCATCCATCAGTCAATCAAATCCATCAATACATCCATCCATCAACCAATCGATCAGTCAATCAAATCCATCAATACATCCATCCATCAACCAAACGATCAGTCAATCAAATCCATCAATACATCCATCCATCAACCAATCGATCAGTCAATCAAATCCATCAATACATCCATCCATCAACCAATCAATCAGTCAATCAAATCCATCAATACATCCATCCATCAACCAATCGATCAGTCAATCAAATCCATCAATACATCCATCCATCAACCAATCGATCAGTCAATCAAATCCATCAATACATCCATCTAGCAACCAATCGATCAGTCAATCAAATCCATCAATACATCCATCTAGCAACCAATCGATCAGTCAATCAAATCAAATCTATCCATTCATCCATCCATCCATCAGTCAATCAAATCCATCAATACATCCATCCATCAACCAATCGATCAGTCAATCAAATCCATCAATACATCCATCCATCAACCAATCGATCAGTCAATCAAATCAAACCCATCCATTCATCAACCAATCGATCAGTCAATCAAATCAAATCCATCCATCCATTCATCCATCCATCTATCTATCCATCCATCAATCCATCCATCTATCAGTCAATCAAATCCATCAATACATCCATCCATCAACCAATCGATCGGTCAATCAAATCCATCAATACATCCATCCATCAACCAATCGTTCAGTCAATCAAATCCATCAATACATCCATCCATCAACCAATCGTTCAGTCAATCAAATCCATCAATACATCCATCCATCAACCAATCGTTCAGTCAATCAAATCCATCAATACATCCATCTAGCAACCAATCGATCAGTCAATCAAATCCATCAATACATCCATCCATCAACCAATCGATCAGTCAATCAAATCCATCAATACATCCATCTAGCAACCAATCGATCAGTCAATCAAATCAAATCTATCCATCCATCCATCTATCAGTCAATCAAATCCATCAATACATCCATCTAGCAACCAATCGATCAGTCAATCAAATCCATCAATACATCCATCCATCAACCAATCGATCAGTCAATCAAATCCATCAATACATCCATCTAGCAACCAATCGATCAGTCAATCAAATCAAATCTATCCATCCATCCATCTATCAGTCAATCAAATCCATCAATATATCCATCTAGCAACCAATCGATCAGTCAATCAAATCAAATCTATCCATTCATCCATCCATCCATCCATCCATCCATCAGTCAATCAAATCCATCAATACATCCATCCATCAACCAATCGATCAGTCAATCAAATCCATCAATACATCCATCCATCAACCAAACGATCAGTCAATCAAATCCATCAATACATCCATCCATCAACCAATCGATCAGTCAATCAAATCCATCAATACATCCATCCATCAACCAATCGATCAGTCAATCAAATCCATCAATACATCCATCCATCAACCAATCGATCAGTCAATCAAATCCATCAATACATCCATCTAGCAACCAATCGATCAGTCAATCAAATCCATCAATACATCCATCTAGCAACCAATCGATCAGTCAATCAAATCAAATCTATCCATCCATCCATCTATCAGTCAATCAAATCCATCAATATATCCATCTAGCAACCAATCGATCAGTCAATCAAATCAAATCTATCCATTCATCCATCCATCCATCCATCCATCCATCAGTCAATCAAATCCATCAATACATCCATCCATCAACCAATCGATCAGTCAATCAAATCCATCAATACATCCATCCATCAACCAAACGATCAGTCAATCAAATCCATCAATACATCCATCCATCAACCAATCGATCAGTCAATCAAATCCATCAATACATCCATCCATCAACCAATCGATCAGTCAATCAAATCCATCAATACATCCATCCATCAACCAATCAATCAGTCAATCAAATCCATCAATACATCCATCCATCAACCAATCGATCAGTCAATCAAATCCATCAATACATCCATCCATCAACCAATCGATCAGTCAATCAAATCCATCAATACATCCATCTAGCAACCAATCGATCAGTCAATCAAATCCATCAATACATCCATCTAGCAACCAATCGATCAGTCAATCAAATCAAATCTATCCATCCATCCATCTATCAGTCAATCAAATCCATCAATACATCCATCTAGCAACCAAACGATCAGTCAATCAAATCAAATCTATCCATTCATCCATCCATCCATCCATCAGTCAATCAAATCCATCAATACATCCATCCATCAACCAATCGATCAGTCAATCAAATCAAACCCATCCATTCATCAACCAATCGATCAGTCAATCAAATCAAATCCATCCATCCATTCATCCATCCATCTATCTATCCATCCATCAATCCATCCATCTATCAGTCAATCAAATCCATCAATACATCCATCCATCAACCAATCGATCAGTCAATCAAATCCATCAATCCATCTATCCATCAACCAATCAATCAAATCCATTCATCAATCCAAACAAAAGATGATGTCAGTCTTATTACGAGTCCAAATGTTGTTATTTTTTAAGGCTCATTTTAACAGAAAAATCCAATAAGTTATTTCTATGTTTGGCTTGCGAATAATTACAATGCAAAAAAATAATAATAATAAAATAAATAAAATAAATCTCAACCAATTTTATGTTGATTTTATGCCACGTTTCAAAGCCTAAAAGCATCATTATTCCTTCATTTTATGTTCAGTATTCAACTCCTTTCTTGTTCCAAAAAAAAAGGTAAGTCACAGATTTGGAACAACATGGGGATGAGTAAACGATGAGAGGATTTCCATTTTTGGGTGAACCATCCCTTTTAACACTAAGCAAGAGTCTCCTGTCACGCTTTCTTGCATCTGAGAATGCTAATGTTTCATATCAGTGTCAGAGCAGCCTGTATTACAGCACATCACTCAGCTCTGCGTCGAACTTTACTGTCTCTGTCAATATCAATCTCTGTCCGTCTCTCTCCGCAAGCTCATCCTTTTAGTTCTTGTGCATCTGAAATGACTCACACGTTGCATCTCTTCCTCGAAAAACTCTTCCCGCTGCGGTGCACCTCCAAAACCTCTCGCTCTCATTCCCATTTCAATTCCACATCAAAGAGGCGAATCAATGCCGAGCCACTAACGTTCACTTATACAACAGCGCCCTTCATCGCAACCTCATCCTCATCGCTTTTTTTTCTCTCAATAGCTTTTTCTTTCTCAGACATGGATGTTTTTCATGCACACATACGCTCACAGAAATGCTTGTGCACATGAGTTTATTTTTGTTCTGTAACCTTTAACATTGATTTTCTGCTTTTAATGTATAGGCTCATGGGTCGATGTGTTCAGAGATGGCTTTAGATGCACACATGAATTGTATTAATACAAATATCACAGTTTTTATTTATTTATTTTTTTTTTTTGCATTTGTACTGCTCTGCATCATACAGTGTGTAGTAATACATGTGGATTGCCGTTTACAATGCTCAACATAAATGAGTACACCCCTTACAAATCTCTCATTTAGATTCATATTTGCTATACTGTAGGAAGCTTTTCAATATTACATTCGTGCATATATAGAGTAGGCCATTTATATGGAAACACCTTAATAAAATGGGAATTGTTGGTGATATTAACGTCCTGTTTGTGGCACATTAGTATATGTGAGGGGGCAAACTTTTCAAGGTGGGTGGTGACCATTTTGAAGTCGGCCATCTTGGATGCAACTTTTGGTTTTTGCAATAGGAAGAGGGTCATTTGACACATCAAACTTATTGGGAATTTTACAAGAAAAACAACGGTGTGCTTAGTTTTAACGTAACTTTTTTCTTTCATGAGTTATTTGCACATTTCTGACCACTTATAAAATGTGTTCAATGTGCTGCCCGTTGTGTTGGATTGTCAATGCAACCCTCTTCTCCCACTCTTCACACACAGATAGCAACACCGCAGGAGAAATGTCAGCACAGGCTTCCAGTATCCGTTGTTTTAGGTGCTTCACATCTTGTATTCAACACAATCCAAGACAATGGGCAGCACATTGAACACAAGTGGTCAGAAACTTGTAAATAACTTATGGAAATTTTTAAAGTATGTCTGATAATATTTTTTCTTCTGGAGAAAGTCTTATTTGTTTTATTTCGGCTAGCATAAAAGCAGTTTTAATTTTATGATGATGTTTTAATTTTATGAACCATTTTAAGGTCAAAATGATTAGCCCCTTTAAGCTAATTTTTTTCCAGATAGTCTACAGAACAAACCATTATTATACAATAACTTGCCTAATTACCCTAAACTGCCTAGTTAACCTAATTAACCTAGTTAGGCCTTTGAATGTCACTTTAAGCTGTATAGAAGTGTCTTGGAAAATTTAAAAATGTGTTAAGAAAACCTTCTCTTCGTTAAACATAAATTGGGGGGAAAAATAAACAGGGGGCTAACATACAAACTTGCCATACATACATACATACATACATACATACATAAAAAAATTCTCTTGTGTGGCATCATGGGACAGTGAAGTGTACATTGGATGCACATTCAGAATTTATCCCGCCTTTACTGTTTTAATTGGATGGTATGATTTCAGACTTGCTACTCTGAAATCACATACTTCCCTACTACATAGTGTGTGAAAAGTATGTATCAGAGTCAACAGAATGTCAAATACGACTATAATACAGTGTATTTAATACAGTGGATAACATAACTAAAACTATATATTTTTAACATTTTAAGATGATGGACTCTATCAAGCTTCTGTAATTTGATTAGGCTTGACATATTACATTTTCTTTTTAAATGATTGAATATAGTCTAATTTTGACTTGCAAGGTCAGCCTTTTGGAAAAGTTTGGACATGACTAACCAGCCAGACTGATCTCCTTTACTCATGAAGTTGTGTTTTTTTCTGCAGGCTGTGGTCTGGAGTTTCTCCTGGTGTTGTGTGGTTTAGAGTTGACCCAGGCTTGTCCGCGTCACTGCATCTGCTACGACTCTCCCAGCACCGTCAGCTGCCAGGCTCACAACTTTCAGGTGGTTCCTGAGGGAATTCCGGCCCAGAGCGAGCGCGTCTTTCTGCAGAACAACAAGATCCAGCGGCTGCTGCAGGGCCACTTCAGCCCGACCACAGTCATGCTCTGGCTCTACTCCAACAACATCTCTTACATCCAGCCCTCCACCTTCATGGGCTTCACCCGCCTGGAGGAGCTGGATCTGGGGGACAACAAACACCTGCGCTCTCTGGCTTCAGACACTTTCCAGGGCCTGACGAGACTGCATGCTCTGCACCTCTACCACTGTGGCCTGATCACTCTACCCGCTGGCTTGTTTGAGGGCTTGCACAACCTGCAGTACCTTTACTTACAGGTAGGAGTCATATTCAGTCACATTTACATTCTTAAAAAAAACGAATACAGCAGTCAACAGTAGAAGTGGATCAAAAAAAAATAAATAATTGTCCCATGACATGAATAGGTGCTGTTCAATAGTTTTAGGACAACTTTGATTAAAGGTTTTGATTTAAAATCGAATGTTGACTACTGGATTTTGCAAATAGGTGTTAAGCAACAAAAATGTCATGTACATGTGATATCACTTATCAATCATAATTGATAAAAGTACATATGTAAATTATATAATATTTTTAGATGTTCAAAACTAGGACTGCAGGAAAAATCTAAATTAAATTGTGACTGCTAATATGCTGTAGAGTGGCGTAGCGCACAGGCCCGCAGAGCACGCACCGCAGGGGGGCCCCGCGTGATTCTCTTATTTGTTTTATGTTCAGTCCACTTAAATTTATACTTAACTTAAGAGTTTTGTGTTGGGACAACATGAAGGAATTGTGTTGGTCCAACTACCTAGTAAGGTATGGCGGCAATTCCATGCCAAAAATAATCAAACGCACCGGTGATGTTTGCGCGCGAGGAGAAGTGAACCGCGAGATTACCGTGAGGAAACAGGCACTTGTGAGCTCGTTGTAAACCCTTGTGCCTGCACATCGTCATCTGTGCACACAGTGTACTCTCTCGCAGACGAGCTTATGCCTCACAGCATGCATGCGATCAGTTTTCTCGCCCGCTCGTGAGAATGCCCTATTGGTTACTCTAGCCCTATAGGTTACTCTTGCTTTGCGGAAGTTAGCCTGAATTAAACACAGGTTAAAATATTACACCATCAAAAAAAAAAAAAAAAAATATATATATATATATATATATATATATATATATATATAATATATATATTTTATAAGTCATAATCATAAACTTTAAGATGCTTTCTAATGACTTAATTTCAAGAAACTGTCAAATAATAATGATTAATCTTCTAAAATAAAGACTAACATTCTTGTAAAAATGACATCCACTGTGTGTGCACAACCACTAGTTTCCTCCCATGTAGGTCTTTATTCCTCTTGGTTTCCACTTCTCACATGTAAACATCACAGTTTTGCTCGATCATTTTTGTCATAGAATTGATGTCATTGTTAGGCGAAATTTATTAGATTGAAATCCTGATCTTAATTAAACTGAGTCCATCCAATGAGTTATTATTTGACTGTATATTTATAGTTTCCAATATACATTGTATATAGAGTTAAAGTCAAAATTATGAGCCGTCCTGTAAATTTTCTTTTTTCTTTTAAACAATTCCCAAATGATGTTTAACAGAGCAAGGAAATTTTCACAGTATTTCCCTTTTTTGAGGAGGAAGTCTTATTTCTTAAGTCTTTATTTCAGCTAAAATAAAAGTAGTTTAGATTTTTTAAATCATTTAAAGATCAATATTATAAGCATTTTTTTATTTGTCTACAGAACAAATCATCATTACACAACAACTTGTCTAATTACCCTAACTTGCCTAATTAACCAATTTAATCATTTAAAATGTCGTTTTAAGCTGAACACTAGCATGCATCTGAGAAAATAACTAGTCAAATATTATGTTCTGTCATCATGGCAAAGATAAAAGTAATCAGTTATAAGAAATGAGTAATTAAAACTACTATGTATAGAAATGTGTGTAAAAATCTTCTTTCTGTTCAACAGAAATCGGAATAAAATGTATAGGAGGGGCTAATAATTTATGAGGGTAACAATTCTGATTCAACATTAGTTTTCAATGGTTTTAATGTGTCTGTTCTGCTAGGTTTGACACTCTAATGTAAATATATCATATCTATCCACTTCCTTTATAAGACGCTTGATTTGACAAAGTTCTGCTAACACTTCAGGAAATCTGACCAGATACGATACAGTTTTTATGAAAGCAGAACTGCCATCTTAAGTGGATATACTATTTTTTTTTAAAATGGCACCATTCCCAGTTCAAACTGTTGCTTGCAAATCATCAGACATGCCAAATAAATCTAGATAAGATCAGCTTAAAATGTTCAATATCAGCCTTGGCAGCAAAAAGTGCTGCACTAAAACGATGACCGGAGACAATATTTCGCTCTAATGAAAATGTCAAAAAAATAACAGACTCTTCAGGTGCAAAGAGCATTACAGAAGATTACAGAATCTGATTTATTTTAAGGATAAAAGTTTCTAGCCTTTGAGGAGGTTTGGCATTTATATATGAACGGCTATTCTAATGAAGACGTTACTAAAAAGCATACATAATATTATTAAGTCACACCTTCTATACACTTGCCATTATTATTATTCACACATACATCATAAATAGTGTACAGTGTACTGAAGATACATCTGAGAACGCAATGCTTTGAAGGCACAAAGAACAGAAATAGAAATGGAAAGGGAAAAATCTAATATATCTAACATGGTCTGCCAATTTCGTGAGTCATCTTTGAACTGCTTTTTGAAAAAACTGCATGATTTGATTTGATGCTTTCCTCAAGATGTTTTTCAGTTTTAATCTCTTCAGCAAAATCTAATCTCATCTTAGTTTGCACAGTCCAAAAAACAACAATATAAATAGGGAAATATTTCAATAATGCATATGAAAATATGAGACCAAATTAATAATACTGTTAATTATAGCATTTAAGGTTATCAAAGTTTTGCTTGTTTGTTTTGCATTTTATCATCATTTTAGTAAAATGAGCACATAATAATAATAATAATATAATAAAAATAATAATAATATTATTATTATTATTATTATTATTATTATTATTATTATTATTATTATTATTATTATTATTATTATTATTATTATTATCATGAACAACAACAATAATAATAATAATAATAATAATAATAATATTAATAATAGTATTAACAACAATGATGATAATAATAATAATAATAATAATAATAATAATATTAACAACAATAATGATAATAATAATATTAACAACAATAATGATAATAATAATAATAATAAACATTATTATTATTATTATTATTATTATTACTATTATTATTTACATTTATGTAGCACTTTTCTGAACACTTAAAGCGCTTTACATAATTTTTGGCAAATTATGATATGGGGATGCCATGATGGACAAAGGCAAGAGGGCAAATTTGGCCAAGATGCCGGGGTCAAACATTTTTTTCCTGGGATTTTTAACGACCACAGACAGTCAGGACCTCGGTTTAACGCCTCATCTGAAAGACGGTGCTCACTGAGCAGTATAGAGTCCCTATCAATATACTGGGGTGTTAGGACTAACACAGGCCGCAGGTTGAGCGCCCTTGCTGGTCTTACTAACACCACTTCCGGCAGCAAACTAGTTTTCCTATGTGGTCTCCCATCCAGGTACCAACCAGGCGCAGCTCTGCTTAGTTTCAGTGGGCCACCATGTCGCAAAAGCAATGTTTCACCACAATACAATCTGATATTGATTCTGAAGGTGATAACTGCAGATGCCTTACACCACAATCTGATTATAGTTTGATTCAGTTGTGGTGTATACTGATGAATATATTGTTATTACTACATTTTGTACCATATAGACAATGAGTTACATTTGTAAAAACACAAATGACAAAATATATAATTTGTAGATTTAAATTAATTCTGACAATTGCACATACTGTGTCCCAACAGAAACAAACACAAAAACAAGCTTAAAAGTAAGCTTAAGTTATTTTTAAATAGTTAAAAAAATATAAAAGACAGGAAAAAAAAAAGAAATGAAAAACGATTGGCATGATTAAGAAACCTATTAAATTACATGAAAAATAGTCTAAATGCCAAAATTATTATTATAATAATTTATTATTATTATTATTTATTAGAATTATGTTTATTTATATGATAACAATGTAACAACACCTTTAATAAGAACAGGTCAAATTAGTACAGCATGTCATTTGATTTTTTTACAATATTTCTGTTGCACTGAACAACCATGTAAATTTGACTCATATTTGTGACATTTTATTTATTTCAGATTTAACATTATTTGGAAAAAGTATTTTTCATGCCTAATGTCAATTTGATGTCAAAACTTTAATATCCCATTGACATCCAGACGTTGATGCACTTGTGAACACCAAAATAATGACACAAAAAGTATTATAGCTTAAGAAATCTGAAAGCTTCAATTACTATATGATACATTTAAACTGGATTTTGTATTCCTACAATGGATGCAGACTACCTTGATGACAAAATTGACATCAAATTGTCAAAAAAGGAAAGTCCCTATAATCGAATTTTGGCCTGTTTCCTATGTCATGTTGGTGGTCAAAAGGCCATCAGTGTGTGGATGTCAACTGGACATTTAGGTTTTACACTGGATTTTGTATCCTCACGACGCATGTAAACTATCTTGATGTCAAAATGACATCGAATTGACATCTAACACTGGCGCCACAAAAAACACACCACAATTCCTTTACAGCCCTGCTGAAAACTCCAGCTTAAACAAGCCTAGGATGGTTGGCTGGTTTTAGCTGGACGACCAGTCTAGTTTTAGAGGGGTTTTGGCCACTTCCAGGCTTGTTTCCAGCTATTTCCAGCCTGGTCTTAGCTGGTCAGGCTGGAAAGTGATCAGCTAAAACCATCTACAACCAGCTTAACCATCAGACATAGCTGGTTTTGGCTGGGCTCCCAGCCTGGCTAGGCTGGGCAAGCTGGTTTTAGCTGGTCATATCCCAACCCGTGCAGCTAAAACCAGGCTGGAAATGGCTGCAAACCAGGCTGGAAATGGCTCAAACCCCTCTAAAACCAGGCTGGTCAACCAGCTAAAACCAGTCAACTATCCTAGGCTGGTTTTAAGCTGGATTTTTCAGCAGGGAGGACTACCCTTTTTTTTGTCATATTTACATAAGGAAGCCCACTCGGATGCATACTATGAGTTTAGAATAAATGTTGAAAATATCAAAGCACTGTTATACCCCTTAAAAAATGATATTTCAGCAAAAGACTAAGGAAAACTTGCTTTTTCCACACCTGCTAACTAACAGTGTTTATCTTACACTTTCAGAGCAACCAGCTGGAGTTTCTCGAGGATGACATGTTCATTGATCTACTGAATCTGAGCCATCTATTTCTTCATGGAAATCGGCTGTGGAGCCTCCACCAGAACACTTTCCGTGGCCTGGGAGCACTGGATCGCTTGCTTCTCCATCAAAACCGGCTCCAGTGGGTCCATAAGCAGGCTTTCCATGACCTGCGGCGCCTGACCACCCTCTACCTGTTCAACAACTCACTGCCGGAGCTGCCGGCGGAGAGTCTATCGCAACTGCCTGCGCTCGAGTACCTGCGCCTCAACGACAACCCATGGGAGTGCGACTGCAAGGCTGTGCCGCTCTGGGATTGGCTGCGGCGCTTCCGTGGCTCCACCTCCGCATTAATATGCACAGCTCCACCTGAGCTGGTGGGGAAGGATCTGAAACAGCTGACAAAAGAACAGCTGCCATCCTGTACGGGATCCGAGTCGCTCCACCAGAGCAAATCCAGCAATCAGGGGGATGTGGGGGTTTCGCTGAAGAAAGATCATCACCATCGATCGCACAACCGCCACCATCATCATCCTCATCTGCCACATCAGGATCAATACTACCCAACATCCCCATCACCGATCCCTCGCCCGCCCAAGTCGGGACGCAACAGAAACTGCACGAGGCATCGTGGTCGCAAGGGTAACGGTCAAAACGAGGTGTATAACCTAAAGGACTTGGGCAACAAGGAATCAGATGACAAATACGACCCCACAAAACCAAGACGAAAGAACAAGTGCATCCCACGGACTTCAGTAGGGCCCCCTAGTGGCGTGCAGAGGGCGAACAGCAGGGCCACTTCCCTCTTGGCTCCTGGTTTCATCATCCCTCTTTGCTTATTGGTGTGTCTCACTGCCCTGATTTTCCGCTGATCCTGTGGAAGAGCCTCTACAAATGGTTTTTATGGAAGAAAAAATAAAACTAAACTCAGCCCTCTGTCTACTCTGGCTCCTACACTTCAGTGTGTGAATGTGTGTGTGCGTGTGTGTGTGTGTATTTCGACGAGCCCCTTTTGAGGGACAGAGGACTTGCAGGTCTGGAGACACGAAGAAATCTCGGGTTTTGTGAGCGAGAGATCCTTGATTAGCACTGTTTTCTGTTGCTCCAGGGCACGTTGAATAACAAAAATAACCCATTAGCATTTGCTATATGTAACAAAATAATTAGCAACCCATCGTGGTCAAGCTTGCCACCATGAAAAGACCTCTGTTCTGATCTTCAACCTGAACACTGGCTGCTTTCTGGCGGGAGGGGGGGGGGAAGATTGTGAGGAAAATACATAAACTAAGCATTTACTGTACACAGGTCTGCTACGCTAACATTTTAGCATCTCAGCAGTTTCTGTGAGTTGTTGTTGTTAACACATTTAGCACCTGACAATGTGAAAGCAAAAGCACACAAGAGAAAGATTGTGTTGTTTTTTTTTTTTTTAAATATAAGAATTATTTGCAATATTCGCACATTAAAGCTAGTTCACACAGCCCCTACAAAGCTAACAAGGTTAGCATGCTACTCCTACAAAACCAAAACATGCTGTGAATTAGCACTCTGTTCTGAAGCTGCTATTTCAACTTTAAGGTCAGTGAGAGAAAAAGTGTGCGAGTTTGTGAAGGAATTTAGGATGGCTCTGGGTTTATGTGTTGCTGTTATTCGTTGATTGTGCCCTTAAGAAAGTATTTTGCATAAAAACCGGAAGGCAGCCGTTATTATACGCGAAAAGGTCAAGTGGAGCTTGTGCTTTATCTGTTATTCAGCTGCAATAATGTGCTAACATTGAAGGGGAAAAAACAACAGCATATTTATATATCAGCACATGGCACAGTTTGGGGAAATGAAACGTCTCACAAAGCTGTCACCATCCCTCAAGGCTGGTTCCCTGAGGAAGTTCCTATGGGTTTTTAGAATAGCATTTTTTTATGTAAAGTGCTGCTCTGGAGGAGGACAAACATCTCAAAAGCTTAGGCTTTCTTGACATTATAAATAGCACAAATCAGGAAAAGAGCAGATGCTGTGCTAGAACCTACATAAATTACAAGCTTTCAAACTACACATCATCCATCATCAGCTGCAAAATCTTTTTTTTTTCAGTTCAGCAGTGGACTATACTAGGAAATCCTCAGAAAATATGTGGTAAAATATAAACAAAAAATGTTTAAAGAATATAAACAAACCAATATATAATGTATATTAACAAATAAAGGACAAAATACTGGTTTGGTACAACTTAAAGCTAATGACACAAAAGTCAGTTTAAGCAGTGATACTTTGTTCTCCTTTCTCTTCTACACTCTCAGAAATAAAGGTACAGGAGCTGTCACTGGGGCAGTACCTTTTCAAAAGGTACAAATTTGTACCTGACAGGTTCATAATGGTACCTAAAAGTACTTTTTAGGTACATTTGGGTACTAATATGCCCTTTTGAGGTACCAATGTGGATTCTTTGCATACAAATATGTATTTTTTGAAAAGATAATGCCCCAGTTACAGCTCGTGTACCTTTATTTCTGAGAGTGTAAGAAGTAAAAAAGAAAGGAATGGGCTACATAATGTGGCTCTGAAGTGTAAAAAAAAAAAAAAAAAAAAAAAAAAAAACGGGAAAAAAACATACCAAGTCCATTTTTTTTACGACAGATGAAATTTTTGGAGGCAGTGTCAGTGTCAGTGCAATTCAAACAATGTTAGGTCGAATAAATTTTTTTACATGTGAAAATCACGGACAAAAACTTTGGATTTTTTCAATTTTGAAAAAGACCATAATGTCAATTTTAATAGTGTTTCAAAGATCAGTCTTATTCTGGGCTTGGAATGAGGATGTATGAAGCCCCTTATGTTAGACTAAATTTTACCTTTGACGGTTTTTCAAATATACCTTTTTTCATATCAACTACTGCAATGAAAAAAAAAAAGTTGACAACTTAAAATTAAGGCTACAAGCTTCTGGTCATTTTTGAGTTTACTCAACTTAAATAGAGTCAGGTGAAGTAATAGGGTTAAAAGTTGAGCCAACTGAAGCCATTAAGGTTGTTGCCTTAAATTTTGAGTTGAGTCAATGTTATTGTTTTTTTTACAGTGTGTGGCTTTAAAATTGTCACATACAAGACAAGTGACTGTCTGTATCAAATTTTACATTTTTTTGTACATAGATTGCATATTAAAATGCAATTAAAGTGGCTAATTCTTTATTAATATTTGTAAATAAAAGTAATTAGAATAGCAGATTTGCTCAAAAAAACAATTACAACGGGTCAAATGTAGTGGTTTGAAGAATAGTGAAATTGCATTATTTTTAGGACTGGACTGTGATCCTAAATTTGAGCCTTTTAACATCTTCAAATGATGTCTTGTTCGTAATATGACAAGATTTATTTAGTATATAGTATAAATTACTGCTATGACAGTTTAGTGAGTGTTTTCTTTAAAACATGGTAAAACGAAATGTATGACAGTCATTATTTTTGCCAAGAAAATAACATATAAATGGCACAAATTGTAATGTATGGGAAAAAAACTACAAAATTTAAGCTGTTTTACACTTTATGATTAAAAACCGCTTTTCATCTTTGACCCATATACATAAGCCATCAAGTGCAGCTTTACTTGGCTGTGATGTAAATTAAATCTTATCAGACATTAAAATACAAGCTTTTGATTGGTCCCCATCCAAAATCCTTAGATTTCTACATCACTGTAAAATGCCTCAAGACATGGACTGACATCTGCAGAGTTTGCATGTTAAACAGGTTAAATAGTTTCATATATAGGTCATAAATAGGTTTTCATGTAGCCACAGCAACTTTAAATGCAAAAAATATTGTCAACCAAAGGCATTATTTTACTGCCAAGTAAAAAAAAAAAAAAAAAAAAAAACTTTCTGAAAACCCATTACACTGTAAAAATAAATAATAATACATGGCTGCCTTACTTTTGAACTAAATTAACGGAGTCATTTTAACAAAGTACATTAAATTGAATTTAATACAGTACTCTCCATCATGTGGATTTAATCCTGGTTTCTTTCACTTGTCAGACATAAAAGAAGATATTTTGTAGAATGCTGGCACACATTGACTTCCATTGAGGTAAAGTTGGTTTTATATTCACACATGTGCACGGTCTCCTTAATAATATAATTTCACAAAAATATTCTTTGCAAATTCCAGACCTATTTTTAAGTCATACTTACATGCAGTGCTTTATTTGTAAGTTGCGAAGTCCCGGAACAGACCGGGGTAACAGATCCGACATGTTACCAGGGAGAAGTGTCGCGGACGAAAAAGAAGAGTGGGAGAATGGGCAGGATGGAGGTGTCTTGGACGAAAGCGAAGTGCATGGGGGGCAGTAGTGAAGAGGTGAAGAGTGAAGAGGGTTGAGGGTTCACGGAAGAAAGTGAAGAGTGGGAATAGGAAATGTCCATGTGAGGAGGGGGATCGGTAAAATAAGATCAGATTTGTGCCGATCAGAGATCAGATCAGAGGTGCCGGTGCCTTGTTCCGGCACAAATTAAGCCCTGCTTACAGGCCCGGATTGGCTAATTGGGAGGACCGGGAGAATTCTCGGTGGACCGGTCTGTTTTTTGGCCGCGAGGGCCGGTGTCCCTAGCTCCAGAATCTGTTGCTCTCAGCAGTCACACTTTTTAAATTAATTTATTTATTTACTTGACCACAGTCTTCTTATTCATTATTTTATCGCAGCTCTGCTCTTTATATATATATATATATATATATATATATATATATATATATATATAACAAGCCTGCAGGTTAATGATGATATAACTCAGATAAATGACTATACAACTATTTTGGTCTAGTGGTTAGCACGTTAAATTACGACGCCGCCGTCCTGGGTTTGATCCTCGTCTGAGTATGTTTTTTTTTTTTTTTTTATTGTTAAGACATATAATACTGTTAAGGTTGTTGAACATTTGAAGTTCTAAAGCAGCTGTTTTCTCAAAAAAAAAAAAAAAAAAAAAAGATGTGATAGTGTAATTAGAAACTGAATTGGAAATGACCTTATTTTAATATAGTCAGTCGTGTACTGACTGGGCCGGTCTGAGGCTTGAAACTCCAGGGCTGAAAAGGAGTCCCACTCCGGCCCTGCCTGCTTACGTGTGATTTCAGACCGGATTTTTAAAAGTACCATGGTAAACTATATAGAGAACATATCACAAGCTGTCACTGAAAGAATGTGTGAACATAAAACCGACTCTACCTCAATTTGACTTCAGTAGTAAGAGAAAAAATATATGATGGACGTCAATGCATGTTGGCAATCAGCATTCTTCAGAATATCTTCTTTTATTATTCAACACAAGAAAGACACTTAAACTTCATACTAGAGAAGGGAGAAAAAATGTTGACTGTTTTCATTTTTGAGTGAACAATCCCTTTAAAATGATTATACATCTAAAAAGTATTAAGTTAGAAATGTGATTAACTTAGTATAATGAGTTACGAAAAACATGATGCAATGACTATATCATTTTTACAGTGTAAAAACTCCAAAGGGAACGAGTCAATATTCACACAACACCAAAATATTCCTTCAGGTTTTAGAAGCACAAACTGAACAGCTCCACCCAGAAAGCCAACACAAGTTCTGAGGTAATAATCCTTGCAATCCTGATTAATCTTTTCAAGCCATAGAAAAACATGTCCGTCACTCACCGTCTCTAACCCTGTTGAGCCATCAAACACACACACACATACACACAAGTCTTTGGGATGCTAAAGCTAAGAGGTAACAATAAAGAGGAAAAAAAAAGTTACAGAGCCCTCTTCTGGACAGGTGGAGTTATTCCCCCTGAGAAACTCTTGAACTGAGAATATTCTAACACATGCATCGTGAACATTTCTTTGTTTGAGACTTATTCGTAACAAAAGACTGTACATGTTGGGCATTGTCAAGGAGTTTTTTTGTATTAATGTACTTTTTCTTTGTACGTTTGTCGTCAAAACTGCAATTTTGAACATACAAGTGCACCGTTGCTGACCACCTTTCTCGTCTCCCTCGGTCTGTCGTTCATCTTTCTTCCTTTTTCATGACTTTCTGTCTGTTATGAACACCACCAGACTCTGTTTCTAAAGAACATTAAAGAGAAATGTTGTCTCACCACTTACGGTTTTTTGGCTTGTGCTTTGAAAGTGCCTGATTAAAGTAGAAATGGGATGATGTTTAACCAGGGGAATGATCAGACTAGACAGAGCTTTTGATTTTCTGGACTGAATTAAGTCACTGCAGAAACACTTCATAATAATTCACATGCTCGATTTAAATTCTGGAGACAAGATACAGCGCTTTCTGAATTGCATGTATTTTACATTTTCTCTCTCTCTTTCCCACACACACACACACACACACACACACACACGCACACACGCACACACGCACACACACGCACACACGCACACACGCGCGCACACGCGCACACGCGCACACACACACACACACACACACACACACACACACACACACACACACACACTGAAGATAATTGAACGACTATATATTTCAAGCATAATTTCTTCAGGGATTTGCAGGACATCTTTCGGTTGACAGACATATTTTATTGAACCCTGGGGGGGATTCTGTAACAGACAGACTGTAAAGCCAGTTCAAACTGTGGCTGTGCTAAGACAGTTGTTGATGTGAAACAAAAAAGTGACCGGGGAACATTATAGTTTAATGCTAATTAGGGCTTCACACTATATCGTGTCAGCATCGATATTCAGTGTTGCTAATTGGGCGGTTTCCCACCCAGTTGGGCAGTTTTTGGATTTGATTGTGCAGGTAAAAAAATGGCATAGGCGGGCTGACAAAACTTGGACAGCTTTAAAACGTAAATTTTTTATATGCATCTCATTTACCAAAACATAACTGTGTGCTCCTATTCAATACAGTTAGTAGTGACCAGTGCATAGCGTAAACAGCGTGGGCCCACTCACAAGAGGAGGTGAAGGAAAGTTGTATTAAAAATCTGACTCCCTGAAAAAAATACAAGCAGGTATCGATGCAGCCCGGATCTCTCAAAGGCTCCAATAAAACACAATATGTTACTGTGAGGTTGGGTTTAGGGTGTAGACATTCATAAAGCACAATATTGGATGTTATGTACAAGACATTAAATAAATAAAAACTCCAGGGACCTCAGGTATGAAGACTTCGTCTGAATTCATACTAAAACATTGCAGAAAAAAATTCAGATGAAACACTGCATCGGCGGAACCCCATGCATATTCTCGTTGTACATTTGACTTGACGTGAATCGTGCTCGTGCATGAGCGCAAAACCCCTCCCTGCCTCCTCCCCCAATAAATATGCTAATGACTCCACTTTGGCAAAACCAAATGAAAAAGTAAAGGGAAAAGCAAGCAAAAAGAGAAACGAAATGTGAATTGGAGGTGCATTTTTTGGAGTTAGACCAGAGAAAACCTGTGTTATTTGCAAGTTTGTCCTCCGGAATTAATAACAAAAGAAAAAAAAACAGAGTGGCCGTTTAACGCAGTTGGGTCTGAACATCGCACTGTGAGTGAATTAAAAAAGAAATAGTCCAATGTAACGGTGTAAAATTTTGTAGTATCTATTTAGGCTAAGTGCAAATAAAAAAAAAAAGTGCACTCCTCGTTGGAATGAGCTAGCTAAGCGATTCCCGCCCGTCACCGTTTAATTGACAGAGATAAGATAACTAAAGAGAGCGGCAAACAGTAGCGTGAGTGGCGTAGCTCGTAAATCGCATGGCAACATGTTTTGACATGTTCGATCATAAACCCGGTTCAAATCCAGCGTCTAATGAACTCCTTCTTTCCCCCACAACAAATCAGATTTTGCCTACTCTTCATCACGGGGAAGACAAGTAGGAATCATTAAAAGTGTGTGTATTATGTTAAGCGCATTTGAGCATCACATG